AGTATTACACACTTCTATTACTCATTTTATTTACTCCTTTGGAATGAAATTGCTGCCTGCCCTCCCGGAATAGTAGATAATTAACTCTTTAGAAATAAAGTTAGTGTTTTGCTAGACGAAAAGCTCTTCCTGAAACTGAAGTGAACAAATATGTACAAAGATTATTAGAAAATGTATGCAACCATTTTGACCCCTGTGACAAAGCTGACAAGCCAGACCAGAAAATAAATTTTGGTGTATGAAGTCTGGCTCAAAAAGGAAAAATTTCTTTGGTAATTCACTAATATGTCTCATACTCAAGGAAAAATAAAAAATATGGAGAAGAATGTATTCTACCATTACCAAACAAGCACCATCTTTTTGATTTAAAAATTTAACACAGATAACACCACTGATTCTAAATAAGTTTTTATCTACCCCCTCCAACATACATACCAAATACCTGGTAGTCTTGTAACAAAAAGCACCTTTAGAGCTTCATATAGATTTTTATCCGGGTGTGCTCATCCAAGAGAAGTATTAGACAGCTCACATGATCCCATGAGACTTACAGTGTGGGTCATGCACAGTTCATTCAGACAAGCAGTTGATCTCCAAGAGCTTTACCAATCCAAACATCAATGCTGAGCATTTTCAGTTTTACTTCATCAAGGTTTAAAATGTACAGCAGCGTACTCAACCGTAGAGCAGTAGAGATGTTCAGAGTAATACTCAAATCACTGTGCTAACTAGATGTGATGAGAAACTACTGGAGGGAGGGAGGAAGGGAGGGATCATGGAAATGCTAGGTCAGTATCAGAGAGATGAAGTTGTTAATCTAATTCACCACCCTGCACAGTAATATAAAAACTGAGATAATCATTGAATGTGTCTCTCACTGGGGAGGGGCCTCTGACTATCAGAACTGAAAGAACTCCCTCTATATCCATAAGATTGAATGGAGATATATGGTCTTTTTTTCTATCTCTGAACTAGAGATGAGCTGTTTAAAGAAAGAAAGAATTAAGGATAGACAAACTAAGCCTTTGCCTCCTGCGCTAACTGCCATTGCACTGAGTTAAAGTGGAAAATGGTGGAAAACAGTAAAAAATAAAAGGTGGGGGGAAAAAATCAGGAAGGAAAAGGAAAACTAATAAATAAATTTAAATATTAATATATTCGAAACAACTGTTTCATCACAAAAAATGTATATTGGATTCAGAATTGTTGTATGTCAACAGAGCATACAAACAGTTGTGGTAAACATAGGGCCAACATGAAGTACGCTGGTAAAAAATATTTCTCAGTGTGTTGTGCCTAACAGGACAACCCTACAGCATCACGGACAACTGTGTGAAGAAGATAGATTATCTGTATCTTCTGCTTCTCAGTGTGCTGCTTCTCTGGCTACAGCATGCACGGAACAGTAGAGCTTCAACAAGTTTGACTACAGTTTATGTGTAAAACCCAAGGAAGTAGTCTTTATGAAAGAAATAACACTGAGGTCAGCTTTCTTGGTGTGAGATAGATCCAGATATCCTTGAAGTATTTAAATGAACCTAAAGACCCCTTTTCAAAAGGGATCAAATCTAGCACCCAAGGGCAGAGAAGTTCTAATCTTACAGAAAATCAATGTGGCATAAATTCCTGTACTGCTTAGCAACTAGGAAATCCTATACAGTGTGAAACCCTGGTACATAGACACCGCAAGTATATATGCTCTGTATTTGTTTCTCATATTTGGATAGAGAGCTCTTTTGCTCCATGCAGAGCAATGTGTTAGAGTGCAAAGAAGTCAGTGCCTTTTCTCTTCCTCCACCTTCTGCTAAGCATTTCCTGCCATCACCACGCTTCTGAAGTGTGATGTCAGCTGAGTATTCCTCTCATTCTCAAAGAATGGCATCTTTAAGAGATTTGCATAAAAATAAATCCCCTTGAGTTTACTCATGTTGCAGAGCCTTAGTCCTGCAGGAAACTCTTTTTTCCATTGTTGCCTTAGAGAGTACAGCCTGTCCCGCTGCGAACATTTCAGTTTGTAGGTGGGTGGGGCATCTTGGAAGTATAGTTCTCCTGGGGACACACTGACAAGCACAAACACACTCTGGGGACTATGCTACTTATAGCTGTTGAAAAAGATATCAAGACATCACTCACTGTCTTTCTGGCCAAGAAATGTATGTTGGAGCCACACTGCTAGTGGCTGTTCCCCTGAAATCAAACCAGGGCTTACCGTGATCAAGTAGCTACCTAGGCCTTGTGCTGTCTCTGCATGAGTGAGATTTCAGCAGCCCAAGAGAGTAGTACTGACTGAAGATCTTTCAAATACTGGTAGTAGTTCAGCATGGGTTTTGTCTTCCTGATGGTTAATCTCAGTTTCTTTCTCTAAAGGCTGGTGACATCATAGGCAACATCCCTCACCTCTTGCTAGAATACCTCATAGACACAGACTCAGAGTAAACTCTTTGTTTAAACTCTGGGGTCTTAGGGGTAGGGACTGACAATTATGATCTGTATATGAAGAGCCTACTATGAAACAGGGCCCTGATCTGGGACCTCTGGGCAATGCTGCAAGTCAAGCACTAATTACGGTGGTGTCATCTTGTTATCTGAGCAAATGACTGTAACGCCTTCATTTTCCTTCTGGCATTTCTTCCACTTACCTTTACTGCCTCAACTTAGCTTTATGTCCTCATGTAAACATAGATTTTACTCCCCATTTGCTTATCTTATAACTTTCAGGAGTTACATTTGCATGTAGCGAATGCTCATTAAAACATTCCAGAGAAAAAGGAAAAAAACTTAAGTTTCTGAAAAAGGTGGATGAGCGCTAGATCTAATGAAAAAAGCAGCAGTGGATTAAAGATCTACTTTTTTGGTCTCTCTTTAAAGGTAATTAAACTAATAAAAGGTAATGAGCCACAAGTTCCAACTCTCCAACTACTGCCCTAAACATAGTGAAGGATTTTGAGCTCACTTCTTTTCAAGGTTTCAGATGAGTTCACCAAGATACAATTATAATGAAAAAGAATTATTATGTATCTCTTCACTTATACTGCAAAACCGTTTTACTAAATGCATAAACAAAGTTAAATTCTCAAAATTCAGTATCAAAACTAACATTAAATATGCAGAAATTTAAATATCTGAACAGATAATAGCAACACATCTTAAGAATTATGTAGTTTGCTTTGTTCTTGACCTCCTCCCCCCACATTTCTGTGGTCGTACAGCCCCTTCTTATTGCCATAACTACTCTGCCATTAAAAGCATTAATTTATTTTTGGAGGTGGAAGGATGAAGTGAGAAGAAAATGCTAGATGTTCATAGTAATGATTCTTTTGGTATTTGAATTTCTATTACCTGTTTAAAGCTTTGGATTCTGAATTTCTTTTCCCGAGGAATAAAATGTCACATCAGCAAACACAGTGAGACTGATGAAATTAGTGTGAAGATATTATAAATATCCAAAAGAGAAACAGTTTCACGTTTAAACACAATGGAACTGTGCTTTGTGACGTAATGCTCATTCAGATAAGTGATGGTAGTAGCAAAACTTATATTTTAAGAGTAAAAAATTTACAGCTCTATGTAAAAGCAATTTCATAAAAAATTCATGTCCACCTTTCCAGCCCTTCTAAACAAAAAATGGCTACATGAGAAATACATCAAAGTTTTACTGTTTTCAGACCCATTAGCAAAACATGCTGTTTAATCTGTAACCTACAATATTAATAATTCTAAAATAGTACCCAATTTTTTAAACATTGACTGTTAGAATCTTTCTGATTTATATTCCATGTACTATGTTAAGTTAATATTTTCACACAATCCCAACAAATACAATCCTCCTCGAATAATTTTCAGTATATCAAATGTGAAAATCAAAAGCCAAACCCAGAAAAGGGACATTTTTACAAGACTTTTTAAGAATTCAATTATATTCCCCCTGGAAGAGATTTTCCCTTGCATTCCTTTAAATACAAACTAAATTTCAGCGAAAAGTACCAGTCAAAATGGGAACAAGATTACAAGTGATTTTTGAGGCAATCTGTTTCTGTTCAGCTTTAGCTAGATGGGCTCGGCAACTGTATATCCTATAGGGTCCAAGCAGATTTACTCCACTCCAAGAATATTTATCTCAAATAATCTAGTACCATCCTAGCACCTAACATGATTACATAACCCTTTTTCTCCTTCTCACAGCCGGTGTGCGGGGCATGTAGAAGCATGCACAGCGTTAGGGGCAAAGTCCCCATAAAGAAACTTGGCGGCAGCCTACCCAGGGACCGCAGCTGTCCACCTGAAGAATTTTCTAGGCAAAAAAACACATGCAGTACGAGTCCATCCCGGACTAAAGGCTAAACAAAAAAATCATGCTCCCTCCCCAGGCTGAGAGCTCGATGCTCTCCTACCTCCCAGGCTTACAGCCAGCGGACAGGATAAGGGACGGGGTTGATCCGAAGGGGTTGCGGGCTGCCGCACTACCTCCCAGGGGAACGTGGCTAAGGCGGGAGACGAGGGCCCCGGAGCTCGGCCCTCCCGTGAGAAATTCAGGGAGTTTTGTCCCGGGCCGGGTGAAGGGCTCCGGGTTCCCCCCGGCCGCCTCCGGGACGCGCACGTCGGGGTTGCAGCCTGTCCTCCCGGCCCCGGTGAGCCTCACCTTGTTAGCACGGGGGGCCGCCAATGTTCGCCTCGGTTTAGACGAGGCAGGTTCGAAGTCCGGAAGAGCTACTTTCCGCTCATGGAAAATATTGACCAGCAACCAAAAGAGCCAGAGCTAAGAGGGGAATGACAGGTCCGGGGGAGGGGGGAAGGGAAGAGCCCCTTGCCCCTGCACACGCCAGCCCCCTCCGCTCCGCTCCCCCCGGCCCGTCTCCGGTTCGCTCCTGAGCCCTGGAGTTCCAGCTGCAGGGAGCGGCACGGCCCGGATAACACATCCTGGACCCAGATCCAAACAAAAAGTATAAAAAAAATTATCCCATATCGCCCTCCCTTTTCCTCCACATACCCACGCATTTTACCTGGTTTTATGCCGGGTTTTTAATAAATTCCTTCCAAAAGGAGCCATGATCCCAGCGGCATAACATCAGCGATCCCCAAACAATTCGAGGGTGTTCCCTTCTCCCCTATTTTTTTCCCTGAGCGCCTTCCAGCTTGTTAATAGTCACCGAGCGTAGCGATGAGCTGGAAGTTGTGCAATTTACTGCTAACTTTGAACTCCAGCTTGTTGCTGCTGCTGCACCTTTGGAGTCCTGCCCAGCTGCGAACTTGAAGGAGGTGTTTAGGAGCAGGAAAAAGAAAGGGGAGGGGGAGAATACGCACTTGCTCCTGTGATGTGAAGTTATGCACAGAACTTGCTAAACTTTCAGCCTTGTCACCCTCAGGGCAGCAGGCGGCAAATTGGAAAGAAGGGGTTTTGCTGCGATGTGGAACTCTGTAAAGACACACACACACACACACACAAAAGCACTGACAACTTTCCCTGGGAGGCTCCAGCCACTTCAGGTCAAGTCGTTCAGCTTAAACACACGCGTTAATGACGGGGAAGCAACAGTTGCCACACCAGTTCCCAGTGCATAATAACCTGCTTTTCACTACCTCGGTACTTTACAAGGTGTTGGACGAGTAAGGGGAAGATGAAGGGAAAAAGAGCTCTGTGGCCCCCTGCTCTCTGTGGATTTTTAAGTAAATGAGCCATTTGCATGAAAGCCTTTGCAGACTAAATCCACCTTCGAAAAAGTTTAAAGTGTGGCCTAGCAGAGGCAGCAACATGAAAGGCTGGGTTCCTGCTACACTGTTCTAGGACCTTTTTTGTTATCATTTTAAATTGTCTTCTCCAGAAGAGAAGTGAACACACACTAGGTTCCTGTTAACTGGAACCCACTGGGAACAAGAGATTTGGAGTAAAGAAAGCTTCAGATGGATTTATTCTTTTCCCCCTCCTCCAATATGGAGCTGAGCAAGGGAAAAAGGACCCATTGCTCCCCAAAGGCTGATGCCGGTGTGTGAAGGTTCCAGGGCAGATGGAAAATCCCCTGCACAGCCCTAGTCCATAGTAGCCCTCTACTAGTCCTTTCTGCAGTTAATTTAACAGGTACATATTAGACACAAATAATTCTTTTTTTTTTTCCCCTCACAAGGAAAATTCTTTATGTGGCTGCGCAAAGGTGCAGCACAATAGGGAATTGTTTTATTAACCAAGGGTGATGATTAAATAGGAGACTACCACAGTAAGGGCTTATCTGAAAAAAAGCCTTTTTCTTCTTCTAAATTTCGCCTTTCCTCCCTTATTCAAGATAGTCACAGCAGCCTGAAGAAAACAAAGGAAAGCTCCATTCCATGGGTTACCTATTACTGGAAGCTCTAGGAATACCCCACATATTTTCAGTTCAATCCCACGCCTCTAAATTCTCTGAGCTGTAACTACAAAGAGAAGGACCGGAGCCTCTTAAAAGCCTTGTTTGTGTAATCATTCAAATAATGCAAAAAAATAGGGAAGCTGAAATGAAATAACTGTCAGATTTCTTGTCCTGCTGCCAGGGTAGATTTTAAGTAGTCTGATTTGGGCATTATGATTATAAGCACACATTAAGTCTACAAAAGCCTTTCTTTTTGCTTTGAATTAGGTTATATATGTTACAAAGAGGAGATATTCTTATATCAAAAGGACCAGAAAAATTTTTGGGTCCCTAAGAGATGTTCAGGGTATATTTGGTGTAAAAATCAAATCACTGTAGAACTTCCTAGAGAATAATTAACATTCAAATAATTATTTATATTGGCAAAGTTAAAATGAAAGAGCTTTATCCATAAAATAATATTCACTTTTCTCATCATTAGGAAAATAAATGGGAACTTGCTGATATTTGTAGCTGGTTTTATTACTTCTGAATAGTCATCTCACAATTTTAATTTATTTAAAAATTAAAATACTATGTAAATTGTACCTCTTCCTCTAGCAAATTCAAATTGATGTTCAACTAAATATATGTAATGTGGGAACTGGGTCCCTCTACACAAGTAAATCAAAATGTTTGTTAAATTCATGTAGCTATGCAAATAATTGTAGAAAAGACTCCAGCATAATAAGCAGATGTTTCCCCCACAGCTGAGGGAGAAGGCTTTCAGTCTATGCACTTTTACAATTAGGCTAACCAAAACCAGGAAGAAAGTACATGAGTGTATGATAAAGTCTTACAGAGTAATAAAGGTGAGAATTTTAAGAATGGCAAACGTTGTCCTTTACTAAAAACAAAACCAAAGGATATTTAGCATACCAGAAAGAAGTGAAGACATGCTGTTTCACCTGATGTTCAGTTAATCTGAATTTATAGAAAAGCGTACTCAAACCCATAAAAATACATGGATATTTCTCTCAGTAACAGAAGGGACTTGACTTTTCATTCTCCAGCACATAAACTAGTCTGTGAATAAAGTGGAAATTGCAGCAAAATTTTACAGAGGGACAAGTTAATTTTGTAGGCAGTGTTGACACAACAGTTCAGTTACCTTGTCCTTAAACTTCCAAAGTGCCTCAAACTATCTGTATCTGTATGTACACGTCCTTAGTTTTCTTTAAACTCCAGCTCTGATCTTCCAGGAATTTTGAGCCAACATTCCAGACCAGGGCCCTGGCACTTCCCAGCATGCCACAGGGACATAAAAAGCAACCACCACTCAAGTCTTGAGTATGATCACCTTCTAATCATTCTTTCTTCATGCAAAAATCTAAAAGTTGCACAGCTGGTAACATCAGATATTTCACTTACAGATTGTGAAGCCCAGCCAAATAGTTCTCCGTCGCAGTACCTTCCCTCTAGGAGAAGAAATGAGTCAATGGCAGATAGTTTGGTTTGCAGAACTCATTTTTTGAAAATATTCTGTATATGTATGGAGTTGGTCTTTCTCCAGAAAGACATGTCAACGATTCACTCTGATATTTAAAGGAGGAGGAAGGGGAACTATAAACACTGAGTGTCACCTGCCACCAGCTTACTGAACAATAAATATGGATGCCAATATTGGGTGCTTGATCAGAAAGCCTATGGTTAATAAATTGCAATGTTTCATTTGCCATCTTCCAAAGCATCTCACGTTGAGTGTTTTACTCCTCTCTTCAGTAAAAATACTTCAGCATAGCAATGTTTAAAACCCAGCTTTAACCCAGGTTTGGAACACAGCTTTAACAATATCAGTCTATGGGTATAGTTTCAAATTAACTTTTAATGCAGCAAAGAGGGGCTGTGCTACTGCTCCCTCCTTCCCTCTTTTATCTCTCTTACCCACCACTTAGTTTCAGTGCTTATCTTAATCTCTGGGATTTCTTCTGATCTCCTTGTAAACTGACAAAGCTTATTCAAATTCCAAAGCAGTAAAAAAGTTTGTTCCTTCTATTTTGACTGATTGCTGAGATGAGCTGGCTTACCTCTGGGTCAGAGAAGCTCAGTCAGATAATGTGATTTCCAGAGCTGAATCAAAGGAGGAGAACTAAGAGAAAGAAGAGAGGAAGCAAAGAGAACTTGGAAGTAGAGGGGGTGAGCAAGGCCTCCTTTGGCTGAGTGTCAGGGTAGCTTGGCAGCTTAACCTATTCTAAGAGTGGGTTTACAAGAAATGACTTCATCTAATCTAATAGCTTGCTGTCCTTAAAATTTGGGGGGTCTTACTCCTCTCACCAGCCAAAGACTCCTGACCCTTTCCTTGTGCCAAGTCTGGTTGTCAATAGGCTTTGTGCTCACACCATTCAACTTTTGAAATGGATGGAAAACGGACTTGAAACATGAAAGTGAATAGACAGCTATTTGTGAGCCAGATAGTTAAACTGGCTTATTGAGGTACCAGACAATTGGCAAGACTGGTATGTGAGGAGAGAAACAGGATCATGTGGCCAAGAATGTGGGCAGGGAAATGTGGGAGGAAGATGTCTTGTCTGAGCAGCCTTGAGCAGCTAGATTGGCTCAGCCACATTGTGTTACTTGGTTCTGGCTACAGCAATAAGCAGCTAAATGGAGACAGTAAAAGCTACCTTAGTAACAGGGCAATTTGTTGATTACTTGCTCTGTGCATATGTTGCTTCTGATGCCTTGGCTCCCTCATTTTAAATCATCATAAATAGTTATTTTTGCTTAAATGCAACCAAGTGTATGAATAAAAGACACTAGACTAGATGAGTAGAGTAAGAGGGAAAGGTCAGTGTTAGGATTATAACTCATGAAAGGCAGGAAAGTGGGTGATCCATTTTCAGCAAACTTGTGGATTTATCCTGCTCAATTTACTTGAAATTTGCAGAATAACTCAGAAGACTAGTGACTGATGATAATATGGCAGGGGAAGGTAATGTTGATGAGTGCAGAGTAATATACTGAGAAGAAAATCTAAACAAACCATTAAATTGTCACATCTTGGAAATGTAATTTATTTGGGTCAGTTCATGGGAAGCCTTAGATCAATGTTCTATACTATTAAAACCAAAACTAAACCCAAACAAACAAAAAAGAGAGTTAACAATTAATGAGAAAGGAATGCAGAAGGAATTGGAAAAGCTTGTTATACCACTGTAAACTTTCATTCTGAGTCTACATTTTGAACATCACAGGTAGCCTATCTGAAGAAGGATATGAAGCAAATGGCAGCAAGGGAGTTTTAACATAAAATATACTTTAATATGTGAGGAGAAATTAAGTAGACAGATGAGATCCTTGAAACTAAAGAAAGGGTCTGATTAATCTGATTAATTTAAGAGAGCTCTATGATAATCTACATCACGGAGAAACTAAACAGGAAACAGCTATTTCTCACAGTGTAAATATAAGGGCCTGCTGAAAAAAATAATCAGACAGCAAAGTTAAAATAAATAGACATCAAAAGATCGTACTTGTAAGCAAATGACAGAACTGACCTCTGACTGCAAATTTTGGGAAGAACAAAAATAAGAATAGTTATAAAGAGAGATTAGACAAAACCATGGAGCTTATGGCCAATAGAGATTAGAAAAATCAGTGGATTCGTGTGTTTTTATCACCTTGGTCCAGTCGTTTCTCAAACTTCTTTTTCTTTTGCCTTTCTTTCCCTACAGTTGACTAGCTACTGGCATAGCCTAAAACACAGTAAACCACACAGGTTACTTTTGACTTGCATATTGGTTCAAATGTACCATCACCGTGGCTACTGTGCCTTCTTGTATAGGGCCTCCATGTAAGGATTTTCCTACACTTTAATGCAACAGTGAACAAAACAGTCAGCTTGACTCCCTGTAAGCAGTTTTTTATTCAATGTTTCAGATACAGAACTAGTTTTGTATATTCTACAATTACTCCTAAGCGTTGGCAAGGAGAAAATCCCCAGATATGGAGTAAAGTTCTTTGCACATGAAAATCTCAGTCAACACATTCTTCATTCAGCCCCAAATCTCTTTCTCTCCTTCCTTTCATGAGGTACCGAGACAGTGTCCTGTGACTGAATTTGCATTTTTCTGTTCCAACACTCTTCTCCCTTATGTATTCTTACTCCTTCTGTAATGGTGTAAATATTTGTCAGTTAGGTACTTGAACAGTCTGCAATAAAAGGCTGAAGCAAATGAAGTGAGGAGAACATCCTTCTGTCTGTCACAGGGTCTGTTAAATATAGTGGTACAAATAAGCTTTCAGCTCTGAAAATCCTTGAATTGCTGATTACTTCATGATAGGAGTAAAAAAACTACCTCATATTTGCCTTGCTTTTGCACTCTTCTGTAAATGTCTGCTAGTGCCCACTATCAGAGACAGGATATTTTTTAAGATGAGACTGGATGTGGCACTTAGTGCCGTTGTCTAGTAACCACAACAGTGTTGGATCAAGGGTTGGACCTGATGATCTCAGAGGTCTTTTCCAACCCAGTTGATTCTATGATTCTATGTTTCTATGATATGATGCCAGTAAGGTATTTTATATGATCTGCTAGAGCAGATCTTCTGTTGATGATTGGATGTAACATGAAAATTGCTCTTCTTCTTGTGTTTTTTCTTCAGCTTTCTACCAGGTCCTGTTTTCTTACTGTGATTTTGATAAAAATGTGTTAAGAGACATGAACTAAATTCTCAGCTCCTACAGATTTGCATGGTTATCTTGGAAATAGTAGATGGGATTAAATATTTTACATAATACCTTCCTTTACTATTTTTTTTTAAATCTTCTTATGAAATATATTATATTATTATTTTTTGTAACAACTTTTGAAGCATGCTGTAATAGTATTTTGTGGTTATATTCTTTGATGTAAATGCCTGCCTTATAATAGCTATGACTATTGTCAAAGAGAGCAGTTTAAATGAACTGTTGTGTCCTAAGCTGCCATACTTGGGTCAACAGTGATTGGTGTAGAGGATTTATCACAAAATCTAAAACTCCTCTGTGTACACTTCCAGGAGCCCTAGCTCAAACTGCATCCATTGAGAAAGACATTTTGAAAACACACCAGGTACATTAAAGAAACTTCTTGTTACTGGAAGGGTTTAGAAGTTGAAGACACACAAAGAAAATAATTTTCCTTTTTCAAAATTATGACGAAAATACTTTCATGATACAAATATAATAAGGGTTCTGAATATCTTTAATAAAGGTTTTCTATATAATGCTTTTCTTTCAAAAGACATATGCTAAATTTGCGTAATATACTGTTACTGAAAAAAGCTACTTATGCTGTCTACATCCAAGGATAACCAATGGCAGTTCTTGCAGCACTAAATGAGGGAATATGATCATAGGATTTGTAGATAAGCAACTGACAGCATTAATTTAAATTATTTGAAGACTTTTAAAACATAGAAAACAAAGGAATACAGGAAAAGTCAATTGAAATATTTTTAGGACAGTCTCCTGACTGTAAACCCCCATTCATGGCATTCTTTGCATACCACTATGTGATTAATAAAGGGAATATTAATTGTATGTCTTTTGGTCTGCCACGATAATATCCATTCATTTCACATCTCATGGTTTTCTGAGGTTTACGAATGATTAGGACTTTCCCAAGATCTTGGTTCACACAGTAGGAGAATAAATGGTTTCCAGCCACAAACTGAAGAATAACATTATTGTTCCTCCTCTTCCTATCCAAATTGTAATTACACAAGCTTTAAGAAGGACAAGGACCACATATCTACCAGATAGCCTCCAAGGTAAGGAGCCTTCAGGCCCCATGTATAGTTTACGTCTCTTCTTGATTGCTGTATTTTTAAATTGCTTCTTAGCATTCTCACTAGAATTAAAGAGATACAGTTGACATGCCCACAGTCAGATATGATTCCTGAAATGCACACATATACAAAGGAAATATTTTTTTTCTTGTGGCTGTGTTATAGCAGTCTTTTCTCAATTGAGCTGGATCAATTGGTTCATTATTTAACTTTTGGTTATTATTTAATATTTCACAAGAGAATCTCCTTTGCAATTTAAGTAGATTTTATAGTATTTAGAAGAATTGACCTTTACAACTTAAAATGATATTCAGAAAGACACAAGCCTTTGAGTGTGCTCTTGTCTGTTGAATGAGAACATTTTTTAGAGCCAAACATCTGAAATAAATGTCCCCTGGAGGTGTGCACTATTCCAGTCATTACAGAGGGAGTACTCATGTTCTTATTTAATGCCAGTCCCTGAGATCCTGTCAGTACCTGCACCTATTAAGCCTATCACTTTTCAACTTTACACCAAAATCCTTGATATTGTTTTCCTGATGTAAGATTCCAGCATGCCTGTTCTTGTCTTCTTGTACAGAGAGAGATCTTCTCCAGATGTCAGCTCTCAAATGGGCCAGACACACATTAAAATACAAGCTCTATTCCCTTGCTAGATTCCAGCCATGCATGGAAAATAAACTCTACTTAATTGGTACTACCTCTGTCACATTAGTATTACTACCTAATACTTCTACCTCTGCTGCCTGTTTTTCAGAAGAACAGAAACAAATGTTTATATTCCCTCCCCCCACCTTGTCTTATCTAGGAGAACGTGGAATTATCACTGATAATTCCACAGTGGCAAAAAGCTGCTGTTCCATTATCTTTTAGTGGCACACTGCCAGTTCATTAATTAATTTTAAAGGAAATTAGGGTATCATGAAGAATAAGAAATCTTCTAATACATGACATATGAAAATTTTAGTGGTTTCTAAATCTTTCTCTCACTTCATTTCTTAAAAACCAAAACAAACCAGCAGGGTAGGAATCTGCTTATGATGTAATACCTGGAGACAATTAAATTCACATTTCTATGTGCTTTTTTTGAAGCTTTTTCATCGAAACCAGTGGGAGTTTTTCCTGATCAAGGTCTTTTTGCACAAAAGGACAACTGCAAATGCGTTAGGAAAGACTGATATCTGGGACAGTGAAGTGGTTTGTCTCCCTCAGAAGAAAAAAATAAAAAACAACCAAAATTTCTTGAGACTGTTCATTTTTTACCTAAATTTATATCCAAAAGAATTTCTTACTTTCATCCTAACTGGAAATTGAATTTATTATAGAACGTTCACTTAAGAATAAACCTGATGTTAACTTCAAAATGAAGCAATTCAAATAGTACCAATTTAAGACACAGAAGTAAAAAAAAAAACAACAAACAAAACCAAAAACAAACAAACAAACAAACAAACAAAAAAAAAGCAAACCCAAACAACTGTATTGAGCTTACTCTCCAGATGGGGTAGACTATTTTATATTGTATTTTCTAGCATCTTTGTCTATTTCAACTAAAATAATAAAATCAAAACTATCCGAGTCCTTCAGAAGTGTAAGACACACTTTCTTTGTCACAGATTTAGCAGTAGTTCCAATAAAGAACATAGGTCTCTAATGAAAGTTTTAGGTGGATTTTACATGCTGAATATTTCTGACACAGATGCCAGAGTTGACATTTCAGACCAGCTAACATCAGGAATATTTTCAAAAGATGGAAAGACATGTGGGATGCATCTGACAGACCAAAATAAAGAAGAAGGATGAGATGGTTTACACAGCAGAAGTACGTATGTCAAGACACACGTCTTCTGCTGAAGATGTTCTTATGTCTTGAACTGGGATATAATGCCTCACAATGAAAGATACTTGGCTCTTTGTAAATGATTGCTCCTGTGAAACTCTTTTGTGCCTCTTGGTCAAGTACATATTTTTTCACAGATAAATTTTTAATTATTACTTCAGCAAGAATATTCCCTGAGGCCCAGGCACCTAAACTCTAGAGAATAAAAGCAATGTACTTCACTGGTTTCTTCTCCATTCTTCTGGCTGCCAGTAACCTAATTCCTGAAGCAGTATAAAGGAAATATAGTTATCTAGTAAAAAGGTATAGAGACTTTTGACCTAGCATTTACTTAGTCCAAATCCACGAAGCTGTTTAGATAATTAACTCCATTGATCCTGATACGTATGGACACTTTTACTATTTAAACCTAGATCCTTTGTGCTAGACGTAGCAGTAGAGGGAAAACAGTCAGTCCCTGACTGTGACTATGGCTGACTGTGCAGGCCTGTGTGATGGTTTGAAGGCCTTACTCCAAAAAGATATATTTGGTTGGGTGCATAAATCTATGACCAGGACTGCTATACAATCAGCTACATAACCACAAAGAGTATGATCTGTCAAGGAACTGCTGCCATTGAATTGTACATGTAAAAGGGCATTTTCAGCACCGCAAATATGGACAACAGCTGGCAGTAATGAGTGGTGGTGGGGGGCAGCAGGAATGGTTGCTATGTGTGGCAGTGTCCTATTCTCTTATCTTCTTGCCTCAATTACCATTAGAAATACATACTGAATCTTACTCTGGTACAAGGGCTGTAGGCTGCATTCGGATGGTGCTGATATCTGCGCTCTATAAGAATTTCAAAACACAACTACAAGTTCCATTCCATGAAAATGTACAGGATCACCCAGCATGAGCTATCTGATGAAGTCAGTATAATAACTGAACTACCTGTTGTAAAGAAATGTGTAAATGATAGCCAACTCCTTATCTCTAGGTATGCTGATTTTGGTTGAGGTAGAGTTAATTTTCTTCACAGCGGCTAGTATGGGGCTATGCTTTGGATTTGTAACGAACACAGTGTTGATAATAGAGATGTTTTTGTTGTTGCTGAGCAGTGTTTATACAGAGCCAAGGCCTTTTCTGCTTTTGCTACTGCCACGCTAGCAAAGAAGTTGGGGGTGCATGAGAGTTTTGGAGGGGACACAACCAGGACAGGTGACCCAAACTGACCAAAGGGTTATTCCATACCATATGACATCCTGCTCAGTCTATAAATCTAGGGGAAGTAAGAGGAAGGGGAGACATTTGGAATGATGGCGTTTCTCTTCCCAAGTAACCGTTAAGCTTGATGGGGCCCTCCTGTCCTGGAGGTGGCTGAACACCTGCCTGAATTCCTTGTTTTGCTTTGCTTATATGCATGACTTTTGCTTTTCCTATTAAACCCTTTATTTAAACCCACAAGTTTTCTAGCCTTTTCTCTTCCAATTCTCTCCCCAGTCCTGCTGGTAGGGAAGTGAGTGAGAGGCTGCATGGTGCTTGGCTAATGGCTGGGGTTAAACCATGACATTAGGTTTCCAGAAAACTTTGGAACATTGTAAACTTGGTCAATGTCATCCTGTACTCAACATTGGTGAGGCCACACCTCGAGTACCATGTTTAGTTTTGGCCCCCTCACTACTAAAAGTCATTGAGGTGCTGGAGCTGTCCAGAGAAGGGCAACAAAGCTGGTGAAGGGTTTGGAGCACAAGTCTTATGAGAAGCAGCCGAGGGAGCTGGGCCTGTCTAGCTTGGAGCAAGTGAGACTCAGTGGGGACCTTATTGCTCTCTACAAATACCTGAAAGAAGGTGCAGCCAGATGAGGGGCAGCCTTTTATCCCAGGTAATGTGATAGAATGAGATGAAAGGGCCTCAGGTTGTGCCAGGGAGGATTTAGGTTGGATACAAACACAAATTTCTTCACGGAAAATGTTGTCAAGCATTGGAACAGGACTCACCATCCCTGGAGGTATTTAAAAGATGTTTAGATGTGGGACATGGCTTAGTGGTCAACATAGCAGTGCTAGGCTGGCAATTGGACTTGAACTCAGAGGTCTTTTCCAGCCTAAAAGATTCTATGATTCTAGTAAGAGTTGAATCTCTGAAAACCCATAATCGAATGCATCTGCCACTGTAAGTAAAGTATTGTTCTGTGATGCACATCCTTCTTCTGAGGCTTTAGACTGTAGGCAATAGGAGTTACCTATACTTGATGTACCTGTGCAAGCCTGCCAGAGATAACATGTCACACCTGCTTATGTTTTTTAACTCTTTATGCCTTCTAACACCCCTTAGGTATAGAATGATGCTATCTAACATTATTCTTTCTGCATCAATAACTCAGCTGGCTGTTCACACAGCAAAGAGATCTCATCTGTGTAAATAAACCCATTCCATTTAGTGATACTCATTGAAATAGAGTCAGAGAAGTTCACTTCCAGTGCTTTACCTTACTCATAAAGATATGGCCCTATGGAGAGACACCACTGTAGCTATGCAAAGGTATCATTTACTTGTTAGCCCAAACAGTGAATGTCGAGCTGTCTCACCAGTTACAATGAATACAACTGGAGCACTTGTTCATCCAGGGGAGACTGGGGACAATGAGGACCAAAGCAGGAAGAAATGGAAGTTTTTCTCTGCATTGAATATTTATGCCTGATTGTAAAAAATTTTAGTTTTAATTAAATCAACCATATGATATGTTACAGAGTACCATCAGGTAAGTGTAATGCTCTTCAAACCTGCTTGCAATCTTTGACTGCTAACATATTTTCAGTTGATGCCCAAAGTATTCCATAGGTATCTCAACTTAAATCAAGAGTTGCAATCCAGGCCTCACTGTTTAAATCAACAATTCATGCTCCTCAGTGTGGTTACATGAAATTTACAGATACAGACAAGCTTAAGTTTTAGCATTTGAGTCATGCTTCTCATCTTCTTAAAATTAGACATGTATGGAGGTGTTTTCAGGACTGGGGCTACATCATCGAGTGATTAGAAAACAGTCCCCTCTGGGTCTCAATTAAACATGGCTCCAGTAGCACAAATCAATGCACCAGGATGGTGGTTTGAAGCTGAGATCATGTCTACAGCACAAGGCATGGCTGACATCAGCGTGTTAATCTGGGGTGTGAGCACCCTGTGCATACTGAATCCCCTAGTTTACCTGCAGTTATAACAGCACAACTGTTCTCTTGCCAGTCTAACATATTTCTGTTGGGAGGGAAAGGGGGGGAGAGAGAGGAATGAGTACACCAAGGCTTGATGTTGTTATGATGTGGATGGTGATCACAGATGTGGAACTACTGTCATGACACATATCCAGGAAGATGCACTGCTCTGGATGGTTTTGATAAGGGATAGAGATAAACACAGCAGCTCTTTAGCATTTCTCGTGATAAGTCTTAACAGCAGAAACTAGGCTAGTATAGGCTGCTACAGATTACAAACGTTTTTTTTCGAGAGCAGTGTGTATTTATAAGCTGCATTCTAGTTTAGACATGGCTATAGTTAATCATGGTTAGGCTTCACGAACGAAAATTTGGGGGGGGCTCTACCCGCATTTGTTACAAGCGCGCTGGTAGTTAATTTGTGTTTATAAAGCATTGAAATTGAAAGGTGTTATGCAAATGCAAAATATTTCTCAGATGCAAGCTCTCTTTTTATTTTCAGAAAGGGTGCTTTCCTTCTTTGTCAGTGATGTTTTTGCTTGTGTTGTAAATGATTGGTTGCCTGTGTTTGCTGTTGTAACATGTATTCTTATTACCACTTTGACTGTCTTCATTGGGTTGTCTGCTTTTCAATCTCCTAGGAATTTCTTAAATACTATGCATGCAAATTTCACTTCACAGATGTGCAAATTACATAGACGCTTTCCATCCCTCATAGGTAAAAAAGCTGGAAGTTGCAGAAGTGTTGTATACTTGGTATGTATGTGCTGGCACGGTACTGAAACCACAGTTCTTTTAATCCATATTTTGTTACTGAGTATTACTCCTAAATCAAAACCAATGAGATTTAACAATGATTTTTAAACAATCTACCCATAAAACCAAGAACCTTGTATATTAATAATAAGTTTAAAACTAGTGCTTTTACCCTGCTTAATGAAATTTTTGAAGGAAAAAAACTAACAAACTGAATGAGGGCATTAAAATAACTAACAAACTAAGTGATTCTTGGTTTTTTCTTATGTTACAGCAGAAGAACTGTGCAAGGCTGTCCATGATGCTTGAGGTTCCCTTTTATTACTAAAAAAAAAAGGCTACTAGTTCTTTGGGAACCTCTTAAGGACTCCTAGAGAAGAACTTGTAACTGGTCAAGATGAAGGTCTCAGCATAATCTCACTGATTTACAGTAATAATAACATATTATCTCTTTACTGCACAAAGAGTAAATATTACCCAGTATTTTTAATTAAAAATCTTTTCATGACTGTGTGATTTTAAATAACTAGTTAAGATTAATTTCTCTTTGGGAACAAGGAAAATGCACAATTATTTAAGAAATTTGTGAAGGTGGCAGCAAAGGTGATTTCAGAAGTTTCAAAGTGAAGAGTCCAATTCCTATTTATATGGCATAATTGAACCAGTGTAATATGACAATGCATATTGTATGTCTTCTGTTACCATGTTCCACAGAACACTGAAGAATAATTGCAGACAAAAACTGAATATCATGGGAAAAAAGAGAATCAACCCTCTGAATTCAGGTCAATTTCATTTTGCTCTTTCAGAAATTGTGGATAATCATTGTTATCTGATCAGTCCAACAGTAAGAGTATTAAAAAAATAATTTTGCATCTTTTAACTACTTCATCTATTTAACAAAAAATTTTAAAGCATGATCAGTCTGATGAGCAGAGGATTACATGAATATGTAATAGTCAACAAAGTTATATAAGGCCTTTCACCCATGTGTATTGTATATATTAGATCCTGGAACTTAAATTAAAATATTCATAGCTCACTGGAGAGAAATTAAAAATTTATTAACTTAGATATTTGGGGAAAATATGTAATCAGAGAAATGAGAAAGATGCAGTCTGGCTTGGGAATGAATTGCTGAGAGGTGAAGGTAAGGAGGAGGTGCCCAAAGCATAACTCCCATGACACACTGTGGTGGCACTTCTAACTGCACTTGTTGCTTTCTCATATAGAAGGGTTCTAGTAAAAGGAAAAAAATAAAACAGAAATTGAAATTAGGAGTAAGAGTGAAGATTGTTTTCCTATGGCCTTTTTTATCCAAATTGACTTTTCTTAAACAATTTCCAAACTGTTATATATATGTCCAAAAAGTTTGTGTTTTCAGTTTTTTTAACTGTTGGTGTGTAGATGCATACATGCTGTGTTTGCTTTATAGTAAAGGAAATACAGAATCTGTCTTTTCATTAAAACCTAAGAGAATCTCAAAGTTCTGGAAATTTAATGGCTGTGTTTTAATGGAAAAAAAATTAATTCAAAAGACGAAATGATACTTCAGATTATTCTGGTGAAATGAAATTTTTAAATTTTCTGTGATTTGAGAATCATGATTCCCCATGGTGTTGAGATGTTGTTGCTGTTTAAAACCTCAGAGCATGAAGAAAAAATCCTCTACCATACATGTAGACCTCGTGTAGAGGTTACACAGAATGTCACTTTTACATTTTAAGGCCCCAGAACTTTCAAACACAAAGGGTGAGCTCATTAGTCATCCAAAAAGTTTCTGCTGTTTTGTAGCTCCTCACAAAATGTTGTAGAAATTTATTGCATATTAAGAAATATTTTTGATTCAGATAATAATGCTTATGTGTTTGAGATTTTTTTTCTACAGCAGTAAATTCTTTAGCATTACTCAGTTGACTTCTGAAGGTTCCCTTAAAGTGTACAAACTCATAAATCTAAAAAATTGAGGATGCTTAATGTTTTACTTTAAAATGATGGTGCGCTATCTCCCCTTTACCTTTGAATTCTATTCTGATGTCCTTTGCAGAACAGGTGGTCTCTGGGGCTTTCAGCAGTTGAACACACTATAAATTTTTGAGCATTACTGTCCTGACCAAAAAATTCTAGACCTATTTTTAAGCTCAGAGAAAGAGATGCTGAGAACTCACAATGCCAGCTTCACTGTCTGACTATGTTAATGATTTAAATGTACTTTGAATACCCTCTCCTGTCTGCCCTGTTACTTTGCTTGAGCTTGTCCCTTGACCCAAAATGATAGAAATTGAGTCATTAGTTTTCTGCCCAGCATATTAACCTAAACTGCTGATAGTCAAACTGTTGTAGGAGCAAAGGAGCTTAATCACCATAACTAAATTCAAATTTGAAATTGTGAGTG